ACGCTGCTCCTTTGCGTCGAAAGGAGCCAGTTGAGGTGGTTTGGGCATCTGGTGAGGATGCCCCCTGGGCGCCTCCCTAGGGAGGTGTTCCAGGCACGGCCAGCTGGGAAGAGGCCCCGGGGAAGACCCAGGACTAGGTGGAGAGATTATATCTCTGCACTGGCCTGGGAACGCCTTGGGATCCTCCAGTCAGAGCTGGTAGATGTGGCCCGGGAAAGAGAAGTTTGGGATCCCCTGCTGGAGCTGTTGCCCCCGCGACCCGACCCCGGATAAGCGGTTGAAAATGGATGGATGGATGGAAGCTCCTCTTTCTCAAACCCGCCTCCTACTTCTTGCATCCCACTGGCTTCACCTCTATCGCCCTCACTTTCCTCTTTCACCCCCCTGACTCCTAACCAAATTCTTACCCTAGTAACCTACTGCCGACCACCTGCCCTCTTGACACCATTCCATCGCATCTTCTACAATCTATCGCACCTGACCTTCTTCCTTTCCTCACCTGTCTCATCAACAATGCTCTGTTATCTGGCTGTTTTCCCAATTCTCTGAAGGAGGCAAGAGTTAACCCTCTCCTGAAGAAACCTACCCTCAACCCTTCTGAAGAAAACAACTACAGACCGGTCTCTCTTCTTCCCTTTTTGTCCATAACTCTTGAATGTGCGATCTTTAACCTAACTCTCCTCCTATCTCCACCATAACAACCTCCTTGACCCCCACCAGTCAGGCTTCAAGGCAGGTCATTCCACAGAGACTGCTCTCCTTGCTGTCTCAGAGCAACTCCACACTGCTAGAGCCGCCTCTCTCTCCGTCCTCATCCTTCTGGACCTCTCTGCTGCAACCACCAGATCCTTATTTCCTCCCTTCAGGAACTTTGTGTCTCAGGCTCTGCTCTCTCCCTTCTCTCGTCCTACCTCGACGGCCGCACCTACCGGTAACCTGGCGAGGATCTGTGTCGGAACCTTGTCCTCTTACTACAGGAGTTCCTCAGGGTTCCGTCCTGGGTCCCCTTCTCTTCTCGCTCTACACCAACTCTCTCGGCGCTGTCATTCGCTCGCATGGCTTCTCCTACCACAGCTATGCTGATGACACACAACTAATTCTCTCCTGCTCTCCCTCGGACACCCAGGTGGCGGCACGGATCTCTGCCTGTCTGACTGACATCTCTCAGTGGATGTCAAGTGTCTCACTTTTGTGAGGTTCAAACTGCAGCTCCCCACTTGAAAGGGCAACTTGCTAAGTGTAGACTGGATTCCACTCAATGACCAAGATTCGGACTTCTTTGCTTTCTTGCTTTTTATTTTTAAAATTGCCCAGGTGAAAAAACCTTGAAATACAAACACGAATGGAAGGTCAAACAAATATAACCCAAGTAACCATAATCAATTCAATCAACCCCGACAAGACTGAACTACTTCTCTTTTTAGGAAAAGACTCTCCGACCCAGGACTTGACTGTCAACTTTGGCAACTCCATGTTAACGCCCACTTTAACTGCGTCACAATCGACAGCCAACTCTCCCTGACTCCCAACATTACTGCGACAACACGATCCTGTAGATACACTCTCTACAACATCAGGAGAATTTGTCCTCTTCTCACTCAGAAGGCTGCCTAGGTACTGATTCAGGCTCTTCTTCATCTCACGCCTGGAATACTGCAACTCGCTCCTGGCAGGTCTCCCTGCTACCGCCATTCGACCTCTGCAGCTCATCCAGAATGCAGCAGCTCGACTGGTCTTTAACCTTCCGATATTCTCCCACACTACTCCACTCCTCCGCTCTCTTCACTGGCTACCGGTGGCTGCCCGCATCCAGTTCAAAACATTGGTGCTCACTCAGGTCCAGCTTACATCCAGGACATGGTGAAACCCGACATCCCGACCCGCACTCTCCGCTCTGCATCTGCAAAACTCGTCCCTCCCTCACTGAGAGCAAAACACTCGACTAGATCACGACTCTTTGCTGTCTTTGCTCCGAAATGGTGGAACGAGCTCTCTGAAGACACCAGGACCGCAGAGAGCCTTCACATCTTCCGCCGCAAACTAAAGACACACCTCTTCAGACTCTACCTCGACTAAAGACTAATAAATTGTAGCACTTAAATTGTAAAAATAACGCCACTCATCTATAGCAAATTATAAATTGGCTTATTTGAGGAAGTTGCACTTTCTTGTTTCTTGTTCTTCTGAGTTTGTACCCTATGGTTGAATGCACTTATAAGTAAGTCGCTTTGGATAAAAGCGTCAGCTAAATGACATGTAATGTAATGTGATGAGTGGTATTATGGAATGCTAGTACTATTTTATATTTGAACATGTCCAGATGCACTCCAGACATTTTTGCAGAGACCCTCACCTACTGAAGAAAGCTCAGCTAATCCCCCATGTTGACCTCTCTCTGGACCTTGTACGTTTGTTTACTTATTATAGTTATTGGTGGTAGTAATAGTTTTAGTAGAACAAGTAGCAGTCTATAAATGCATATTTTTAAAGCTGTAATCATCTGTAATAGATCAAGATTATGTAAATACATAAATTAAACCACTGATCTTGTTAAAAGAAAATGCTACAGGTGTTGCTGTAGATGATGATTTAGGGGTAGATATATTTACTGCTCGTCGTATTATGACTCACAAGATCAGTGCTAAATCTTAACATATGAACAAGAGAAAAAATCACTCATTGTATCGCCATAATGTATCTGTATTAAAAGATGAACATCAATTGTATGTATTTGCCTTCAGGTGAAGGAGCAACAGACACAACCCGCCCTGATTCTACACTACAGCCTAATGAATCTTTTAAACTTTATTTCTATTTATTTGGCAGGAACAGCGCAGAATGTATGAACGAGGGAAACATAAAGCCAGATAGCTAATTAATTTGTTGTTTGAGTTTGTAGTTCCAAAGGTACTAAAAAATGTTCTGAGGCCATTATATTTCCTGTAGTACATGTATCAAATATAAAGTATAATACATACAACATAGTGTACCTATAATGTATATCCGATCTGGCGCTGGAGCCCAGGTCTAAGTACTGCAGGGGTGAACCGTGGAATGTGGATCAGCTGTGTAAAAATGGAGCAGGATGGAGGGCCACGCCTCTTGTAGGTGGGGACAAACATCACGGACAGATACACAGGGGAAAAGGAAGGGGGAGAAACGGCAGCTGACCCACAACATCCATGGGGGAAAAGGGAAGTCACTCACACGTCACTTTCACTTGTCACTTTCTGTTCGCTGGTGCACTTTATTTTTTAACTAAAAACTGTTTGTGCCCTTTCCATCTGGCAGGAGGCTGAGGTCCATCAGGACTAAGACCTCCCGCCACACCAACAGTTTCTTCCCCTCAGGAGTCGGGCTCATCAACAGAGCCTGGTGCCCCACTTTGTTTGCTGGTACACTTTATTTTTTAATTTTTAAATATTTTTAACTAGCTTTTATTCCTTTATTTTCAAACCAACCCATAGCATTATATTACTAACCCATAGCATTATATTTCATTTTATTCCTCTTGCACTGTTGTCTTATCGTCTATTGTTGTACTCTCAGCTGTTATGCACCAAGCGCCATGTCAAATTCCTTGTATGTCTGACATATTATGGCAATAAATCTTTCCTGATTCCTAACAATGTCAGAGGAGGATCCCTCTCCTGGGATGGACAGACTACAATGGATGTCATGTGTACAGAATGAACAATGTAAAAGATGTACAATGAATTCAATTCCCATAAGAGAGATGATTCAAGCCAGGTGTATGGCAAGACCACTGCAGGGAACACCACCATCAGATAGAACCACCATCCACAGAAGCCTGTGGGGAGGGAAAGCAGACTTTAGGAAAGGATAATGTTGGTTTATGATGACAGTAATATTAATTGATTAATTAATGATTAATATTTAAAATAATAAGGATGATAGCAGCAGCAGGAGGCACGAACAGGGTCCACATAGAACCACGATCCATGGAAACCTGTGAGGCGAGAAAGCACAAATACTCCATGGCCCTAAAGACGATATCTATTGTATTGGAATCCCTGATTGTTGTTTGTTTTTCAGTCTGACATATGCCTAAAAAAAATCTGTCCAATTTTGCTAAGCTGTACAAGTAGTCTTGTGCATTTAAAATAAATATGAAATCCTGGATTAATTCCCAGAATTAGTTTTGTCTGTATCAATGCATTGCACTTTAGCATACTTGCTGACGCAGTGCTCATTTGTCGCTCACTTGCTTCCCATTTCATTTTGAGAACGCAGGTTGGGTTCCTAAGAGAATTGGATATTTTTGGAGAAGGCATCCCTCTCAGTGTTCCATTTTGATTGCTCACCCCTATCATGTGATCTTTTTCTGAATGACAGCAAACAACATCGGCCGTGGGAAACAGTGCTTAATTTCAGTATGGATAACAGTGTCTTCAACCTTGTTCGCTAGGCCAGCAGCTGTTGTGCTGCTAATTTCTACCTTTGTATAATGCTACTACTGCCAACATGTATAGAAGGAAAGGTATTGTTTTAGTTCCTTGCGTCAATTTCCACGTTCAGTTGCGTTATCAACCCCTTCAGTTCGGGTAACATCGGCACATGCTTGCCCAGTGTACATCAATAGTCATGTGATATGTGTTTAAGGCGTGCTAATATTGGCAGAAATGATTTCACTAAAATTCTTGTGGTATTGGTTCGAAATGCTGTTTTAAAACTCAAAGATAGTAGTAAGGATGTAAAAAAGTCCATCTTTAAACAGAACATAGGGTTGCAATTGCTGCACCATGTGATCAGAATTCAATAGTCAGAATTCAAGGTTCTAGCCAAGAACCACATTCAAGGATAGGGATGTAAAAAAGGTACAGAATGTGATATATGAGTTATTTTAGTAGTATCGGAAATAGTATTTCTTCACTGCAGTATATTTTTTGGTCTAATTTATCTTCACTGTGCAATGTTTCATATACTATAGTAATGATCAAGTGAAATTACCTGACTCTCTTCTTAGGAGGAATACACCATTTTGTTAATATGACTTTATTGCATGCTCCATAGATGAATGTAAACATTATATGGTAAGCAAAAATGTACCTAAACAAAGCAAACATGTGGTGAAAAGGGAATTGTACAAATAACAGGCTTACGAATCTTCGTATAAAAAACTAAAAAGAAATAAAAAGTTCAAAACAAAGTACATAATTACAAATCTGCACAATTTGGTTGTCAATGTTCATGTTACAAATATATACCTTGTTGGGTTTAAGTTGTGTTTACACTTCAATGTCCCGAAAAGAAGAGATTCTTGATTCTCAGTCTTTCTTTTTGTCAGTGAGTATGATTATTAACAAACCCCTACAGCGTATCTATTCATCAAACATTTTGTCAATCGGTGATTGTGGCTTTCACAACTTAAAAGATAATAACCTAAAAAAATAAAAAATGTGATTAAGCTGTCAGAAGAACAAGCACAATGCCACAACATACATCCTGGTTCAGTCATGGGTTCCGGTAGAAACCCTTCTGCTATGGTTGTGTCTTTCACTTAACACAACTGGCACTGCTACTGGGAAAGAAGAGGGTGATTGACATCAAGGTAGTGATGTCTTTATAGAGGGGTGTGGTTTCTGAGGTTTGGAAAGTGGGTGTTGTTTGCATTGCTGACATTTAAAAGGAATACCATCAAGGCAACCCCTATAGTATTTTTTTGTTCCACAGCAACGGCAAGAACATAAATCTCTCTATAAATGGCAACATTACAAAATGATTGCATGATTAATTTTGCTTAATCATTAACATTATTGACGTGCAACACACGTGACATTCAAACCTGTGTCAGCACTATCTAAATAAAACTCCAAGAAAACATTCAGTCACTGTTCCACAACACTTCTCTATTCACTTTATGCTGCTTATTACATTTTGGCAAGCACAGCTCACAGAAATAATTCAGCTCTTCTTCCAGCAGAACCACACTTATGTGTCTGACAAGTGTATCACCAGTTCATCAGTTTGCAGAGGGTCATTGTCCCCTAGCAATTCTGTTTCAGGCACCAACATGTCCATGTTTTGGTCTTGCCCATCCTTGGACGGCCTGTCAGCAAAGTCCTCATCATTGGTCTTGGAGTCATTGAGCAAAGCTGCTCGCTCGGTGACAGAGTTGACAGTGTTGGACGGGGCAGTGGTGACATAGCCTGTAGATGTGGATCCACTGCCACTATGGTGAGAACTACTTTTGGCAACCATTTGTGGTGGATGGTGCATCTGGGGAATTTGCATGGGTATTTGCATGGGGTAACAGTTCTGCAGGTATGGGTAAGCTTGCATGGGGTGATATCCGTTGACAGGAATGTAGAGCTGCTGGGGAACCATCTGCCGATGCATTTGGCCCTTCATGGGAATGAACTGGGGCTGATGGAAGGGCAAACTCTTTTTAGGGCTGGTGTAACGAGATGCATTTGCCGTGCTAATGCTGATGTTACTTACAGGGCTCGTGCTCAGGGAGCTGGTCTGGGTAGTGTTGCTGGTGCCAGAAGTCTGAGCGGGGCTGGTATACCTGGAGAGGCTTTCCCAAGAGCGCAGGCGTGTGTGGATGTCCTTGAAGCGAGGCCTTCTTGCTTGGAATTCACTCCAACACTCTAGCATAAGGGTGTAAATCCAGGCCGGGCAGTCATCTGGACAAGACAGTAGCTGATGGCTGCGCAACATTTCAATCACATCCTGGTTGGAGTAGCCACAGTATGGCTGCAGACCGTAACTGAAAGTCTCCCATAGCAAGACACTATAAGACCAGATGTCGGAGTCAGTGGAGAATTTTCCATACATAACCGCTTCTGGGGACATCCACCGAATGGGCAAAGGGCTTGTGCCTGTGAGATTGTAGTAATCAGCAGAGTAGACGTCTCTGAACAGGCCCAGATCCAAGATCTTGATGCTGAGCTTGTCATAGACCAGAATGTTTCGGGCAGCAAGGTCTTTATGAACTACTTGCTGGCTGGAGAGGTACTCCATTCCGGCTGCAATCTGGGTGATAACATGAAGAAAATCGGCCTGCTCCAGTGTGGATTTGACTGTTTTGTCATCATCTGAGCTGCCAACATCTGAGTTGGGGGAGCGCATCACCAGATACTCATGGAGGTCACCAAGGCTGGAATAGGTGAATATCATGCTCATTGGCTGCTCTTTGCTGACCAGACCCAGCAAACAAACTATATGTTGGTGTTGTAAATTAACGCGGAGCATGGCTTCATGGCGAAATTCCTCACAGAGAGAGGCATCAACCTTGTCCTTTAATGTTTTGATGGCCACTACCTGTGTCTGCTCACCAGGTGCGGTTCCATACATGTGGCCCTTGTAAACCTTGCCAAACCGATCCTCGCCAAGCTCCTCCATAAACCGCACTGCTGACATGTTGATCTCCCGCAGCTTGGCCTGCAGCCACAAAGCAATAAATACAATTACATATCATCAGAGTGCATGGCCAACAATAAAACGTAATGGAAGCCTTTACCACTGGAATGCAACGGTTAATAATTCCGTTGAACGGTGGTCACTCTCTTTTTCATAACTGGGTCAGCAGAGCAAAACCAGCACTGCCTTAGATATACGTTTTTTAGGATTTATGAGATAGCAAAACAATACACAGTGGATAATAAGACTGGGATAATACTATAGAACACCTTTGGCAAATACTATTTCAGCCCAATGTTTAAGAGGAGCTGCAAGTTTCAAGTATCAAGCTTAAAATCCTTCATGATTTTGAACACGTGACGGTGCAAGTTCCTCATTGTATTTATGCCTAATCCTCAATGGAGGTGTGTTTTCTAATACACTGCTAATGTTGTTCTGAACACGACCAGGAAGAATTTAAATGAAGTGCCCATGTCAATGAGCCTCTTTACTCTGTGTGTGCATTACCTGGTGTTTTTGCTGATTCAGGAGAGACAGTTCCATGTCCTGGCATGGGGAACTGCTTAGCTGGCACCGTGGAGTGTCAGTTGATTCCTTTTGCTTATTTCGACACATGCAGACCAGAAAGAAGAGGCACGCGATGACCAAAGGGATGGCAATGGCAGGGATCAGGATAAACAGAATCTCATTCCTGGGGTTCTCTGGGAGCTCTGCAGTTAGTAAGACAAATGAGGTAGCAAGTTAAGTCCTCTGATTTTGTAATGCAGTTTTCTTTGAACACACAACCCATGGTACGATCATACTGGTCAATTTTCTTGTTCCATTGAAAGAATGAACAAAGGCTACAACATGTCCAACACTTGACGGCTGCTGTGGGTGAGTGGAGCGCACGGCCGTCCTCCAATCAGAGGATTGGTGGTTTGATCCGTTGATGATGTCATCAGTGTTTGAATGGGTGAATGATGACATTACATTACAGGTCATTTAGCTGACGCTTTTATCCAAAGCGACTTACATTACATTTTTAACCCATGGCCTTTTGCATTTTAGCCCAGGGAGCAATTAGGGGTTAGGTGTTCGACTCAGAGACACTCCGACATGGGACATTGAGCAGCCCATGCTCACCCACCAACCTTGCGGTTCCCGGCGCACCCTCTCTACCCCTGCGCCACGTCGACCCCCACTTTGAGTAGTCGAAAGACAAGAAAAGCTCCTATCCAAGTACAGCCCATTGACCATTTATCATCCTTAAACTGAACAGGCAATCAGTCAACTGACCATAACATTGTTGAGGGAAAATGTTTCTTGTGGTCCAACATATATTCATGTTATAAACAGTGTTAGAGAATTGGGTAAGTAGGGATATATATATTAATATGTCCCTGTACCATTCAACAGAGAGAAGGGAGAAGCTAACAGGAGGCCCATAGACAGATGTTGTGAGGTGATACGGTTGCAAAGATATAAGGACAGTCATCGTGACACTGGTTTAGGACACATATGTCAAACTCGCGGCCCGCGGGCCAAATCCGGCCTGCAGGGGGCTGGACGGCGCGGTCGGTTCTGCTTCTTTTATATTGATTTGTCTCGACCAATCATCCGCCACCATCCAGTGCTAACCACCACGCCACCGTGCCGCCCATTAAAAAGTACAACACATACAAATATATTTGTCAACAATAACCGATATGGGACAAAGCACAAAATATATACATGACAGGTTGAAAAGTAAATGGTCCAAAGGCGAGTAAATAAAAACGTATCGTCTTGAAAACTGCTTTGCTGCTGTTATTAGCGAGCTAACGCTAGCTTGTTGCCTGCTGGAGGTTCCTTACATTCCTCACGTCAAAACGGGACAACGTGGTGCTCCCGTCCCATGTGACATTGACTTTGCATATTTTGCCATTGACACTTTTTTAATTTTTTTAGTGTGAAATGCTCGCACATCGTGGACGACTTAACTCGAGCAGACGTCTTGTGACTCACAACAACTGCCGGCTGCTTTTTCCTCTATGTCGGCTCGGCCCTTTTTTATTTTTGCTCCGTGCATCTCCGCAACTCATTGAATGACTCAATAATCGCGAGACACAACAAATCCATAATGAAATGTATAAACTAATTTGTTATATCATCGCCTCGTTGGTGTCTTTCCGGAAAGTGCTTGGTTTATTTGAGTGTTGTTGCTCCAGTAAGTCTCTGTGAATGGAAGAATCCAGATCTCCAGTGTGATCAAGTGTGTGTTGCTGAAAGTCACTGGTCTGTGAGAATGTGTGGGTCCACATCGAGTCAGATAGGTAAAGTCAGTCAGTTGTGAGAATAATTACAAAACTATGAATAAATTAATCCACAACATCAACATGGATAATCCAAAAGCAACATCTAATTAGTTAAAGCTGGCGTGTGTGTCTTAATGGAACAAATGATGTGACCGGTCCCCTCAAAAGCAAATCTAACTACTATCAACTATTGTGAAAGATCTTAACTAAATCTGAAACAAAGACAAACAAATGTCTGCACATGAGACTAAAAGAATGTCACACGGACATAATCCAGTGGAGGGGGTTAATGCCAAAAACGATAGCCCAAGTAAAATGGGCAGAGTTGTCTAACACTAGCCACAAAAAGCATTCTCAAAACACTATTTATGTCACCTAACCTGAAAATGATGATCTGTGAAGGGTATAATTATTGCACTATGGTACTTACTGCAGGGCTGGATGTCACACAGGTCCACCCTGACCTGAGGGTCCAGCGTGAAGCACCATGGCGCCTGCATCTGGCCCCCTGGGTTACGACAGAAGTTATGACTTCCCCAGAGCTCGGGGTAGTCCTGGGACAGGTAGTGACTGTGAGGGTACTGAGAGGTCCATGGCTGGCAGTGCTGACCGGACATAGTGATGCTGACTGTGCCCCTGTAGTCCGCCCCACTTCCATTGTAGCAGCTGTGGTCTGTGGGCGAATCTTTGGGAGAGACAATAACTCAGTGTGGACGTTCCTTCTTACAACATGAGAGAAGTGACCTAGATTTTAAACTGTTGTTTTTCAGCTGGTTCAGAGAGTGACAGTTCTATAGTATGTAACATGGTAACACATTTTACGTGAACTATTAAATGTGTCCAGTTAAAATGTTGTTAAACTGTTAGAACTGTCATGTTCTGTTAATTCTTTTATGTTCACTTTGTGATCCTAAATATTGAAAAAAAGTATTGCTTTGGATAGAACCCTTATATACCACATAATATTTTAGGAAAGCTGTTTGTTTGTGTAACTGAAATGAAAAGACTGATGGCAGTGTGTATACTACAGAATTGGCGTCAGGATGGGGTTAGCCTAGCTTAGCATAAGTACTGAATGCAGGGCAAAGCTGTTGTATCCACCTCTGACTACTTCAGTGCAGAGTTTCTTGTTCTATCATGATGTGACAGATTCAACCATTGATCACAGATTTTGGTCTCTGAACTGATACGATGCTCCCAAACACGGCGACTGCACTTCAGAAAGCTACGCAGTCACAGCACCCGCACGGAACTTACCTTAAAATCACAAACTGTTGTCGTAGGTTTTAAACAAACAAGACAAAACGTGCTTAGCTAGGCCATCAAGACTCCACCTCTGCTTGAGATGAATATTTTGCACTTAAAATATATATATATATGAGTAGCCTATTTTTTTGGTTTTATTATGAAGTCTTGAACATGTAAAATAACCTAATTTACTTACAACATAAGTGATGTGCCAAATTTGACAGTATTCACATCCATGTAATATTGGATTTGTTCTGTACCAAGCTGATATGTCAGTGAGGAATTTCTGTTGAATTGCTAAGTGACATTTATTTCAGTATATTTTAGTAAATTGTCGAGCTCCGCTCCCTTACGGGAAGGTGCGTTTACATCAATATGTGTAGTGCGTGCATGCTGCAGCGTCCACCTACATGGACCCAGTTTCTCTGCCGGCACTCCTATCCTCATACAGGAAGCAGCATCGGCTGTGCCCGGCCGCGGGAGCAGGTGGCAGCTGGGGAGTTCTAGCTGCATGAGGATCATGGGATTGGATCGGGCAATGCTGTACTCGGTGTGGCACAGGTCATTCTCCAGGGCCTCGCACTCATCTCGACAGAGCTGGCGCCGCCGAGGGGTTCGGGTGCCCTCGTCACACAGAGGGAAAACATAGTAGCAGAAGGACGGGATGGCGAACCTGGAGCACTGATCTGATAGGTGCGTAGAGGTTCCAATCATAGTGAAGGCAGCTGGGAAGGAGGAAACAGATACGTTTGAACTGTGTCTTTGGAATGTCACATATCTTTGGTTGTTAGAATTATACCCCCATATTTCCTGATAATAGTGCAATACGTCAGCTCAAAGAGGCTGGAGATTTTCCTACCTGTGATTCTGTTTTCACTTTCCCCCTGCATCTGCAGCGACTCAACATAAATGCTTTGGTTTCCAATGAAGCGAGCACAGGCGATGCCTCGGTAAGGCTGGCAGAAACCCTTTTCTCGTGACCTGAAGACAAAAATAAATCAAGAAAGCACTTTCTTTTACAACTGAATTATAATAAGCCTGAATTTAGGATATACCACTTGTATTTGTATATTCCAGGACAGAGTGATCCAGTTTTCAGTACTAGTTATAATTGTACCTCAGTACTGCTTAAAAATGACAAGGATCAGAATTTGCAACAAAAATAGCTCTAATAAGTAATTGTATTCTCCGGGAATTCATGTGGACAGACAGCCCCTCAGTCCAGCTGTCATCTGCCGAATGTTGGCTCCCAGTCCACCAGTCATAATACAGTTAACATCAGCGGTCTTTGAACACAAGACCAAAAACTCTCCCGACATTGAATGTGAAGAGGTCAAAAGTCTAGTCCAGTAGTCATGAGGACCAAGGATAAATCAACCAGAGGTCACTGAAGAGACACAGAGGTCACCATTTTACTTTACATTTAACAACAACACCAACCTTTGGCAAGCCAACAGCAAAGTTCTGCAATCAGGTACATGGACTGTATATAAGCACAGCATTTAAACAGGAAACACTCAAACCTGAATAGTAGACGTTTTTTAATAGTCAGCTGAGGAACTGAGTCCACCAATTATCTCAAGTAGACGTGTTGGCCCTGGTGAAATACACACTGGGTGAATTGTAAAGTAGAAAATGACTGCAGCACTCTGGCCACATGGTCCACACCTCCCCAGGGCTCTTTGCAGACTGACCCCCGTCATTAGCTCCTCTGGTGTCCCAGTACAGAAACCATGCATTGCACAGTCACCACACAGTCTAAAGTCACCTATTTAAAAAACTTAAAAGCAATATGTAAATCCTTTCCATTAATTGTTATAAAATCTAAGAAATGTAACACTAGACAAACTAAGTCCTAGCATTAGTTCAGTAAGGAGGACTATACTTTGAAATGCTTAGGGCTGATGTTTATTACTCATATATTGGCCTCAAATGTGTCTCTCACTCATTATTTAGTTGCTGTTAGTTTTGGGGGCCATCAATCTTGATACCAGCTGTTTTCATCAACTGCCCACATCTCTCCACTGAGACACCTACATTGTTGACCTGTAATCTTGCCGCGGTCCCTTTTTAAATATGCTGTTTAGTATGATTTTGCTGCTGTCGCACACGTCACTCAGACATCCCAATCATCCGGATTGCTTCAGTGTCACCAGGGATTAGCGTCAACTCCCAGGAGGATTTATCTCGCCCCTCCATTACAAAAACATAAATACAATTAGCAAAAATGTTGACACTAAACATTGTCTAGATTTCAATTGTCAAATTTGCTTTGGGAGGTTCCTAACTGAGTGAAATCAGCCAGAACACACACACACACACACACACACACACACACACACACACACACACACACACACACACACACACACACACACACACACACACACAGTAGGTGTTCACTTACGGTTCATCTGGGCTTTGTGTGGGCATCTGTCCTGTAAAACCAAAATAAAGAGGGTCCTTTTTACTAGTAGGATTCTCCATGCAGGTTTTAACGGAACAAGACACATGTGAAAGTATAATATGTATCATTTAAAGATTGATACAAAAAGAATCACTCTCAAACAGCACTTTTGAAGTTGTGCTGTGTTCACAAATCCTATAGGTGTTTTTTAGGTAAAGCCTTCCAATCAATTTCAGGACTACACCTCAATTCATCTTTTCCACTGAGCAGACATTTAATAACATAATAGCGTCCCCTCACAGCAAGAAGGTCCTGGGTTCAACTCCACTTCGCACCGCTCCGTGTCCCTTGCACTTTTTTGTTAAGGTATATTGTATTTATTTAGGATATATTTTTTCACATTCTGATTCTAATGTCTAAATATTCTGATAAAATAAAACGTTCTTTGTTCTCTGAAAGAGTGTACTTGCATTATTATGCTATTATATTCATTATTATTATTATTCATTATATTATTGCCATTATGTAGTCAACAAAAAGTATTTGATGTGTTGGCCCTAATTACTACATTAAAAGACAAAATGCGGTATGTTATATGTTTAAAGGTCATTACCATAAACTTAAAGGAGGTGACTGACATAGAGACCCCGCATACGACCGGTCATTCACAGTAGCCCCGCCCTAAACATCCCCTGCTTTATGGTCTGTTTGACACTAAATGGACCACAATTTACTAAATGCTAGCGCTCTGAACGAGCTATGTTTCCCTTGGAATTATAAATGTGAAGCATACCTAGTTTGACGTAGAGGACACCTGTGGCAGAGATGACCTTCAGTGAGTTGGAGGCAACACACTGATAATAACCAGTGTCTGTCGTGTCTAGGTCCTGGATGCGGAGCTTGGATCCCGCCTCTGTTTTACGGATTGTTATGCGACCCTGCTCCTGGACTACGGGGGCATCGTTTTTCAGCCAGCGGATGGAGGGTCGTGGGTTCCCGGTCACCTTGCAGTGCAGCGTGGCCGTCTGGCCTTGGAAGTGGGTGATGTTGTTGACCGGCCCTTGGAACTCCAAGAAATAACCTTGAGGAGCAGGATGGTGATGTATCAAAGTAAGCATCACGACTGAGAAACCAGCAACTTGTGGTCTACAAAAACGGACATTCATGGAGCGCAGCATCAGCTACTACAATGATGCTTCACAATCATGGTCTCTTACTTCAGCAAAGTCCAACCTACAGCACATAAGGGTTCTCACAATACCAAAATTATGACTTTGATACTATACTTGCCAAAATATTACAGTACCCGATACTTAATGATACCACAAATACGATACAAGAAGATTTATCTATGATAGTAATGAATAAAACATCTGTTTTTACCTGGCATCTGTTTGACTGGGATACACAATGCTTCATTTACTAGCATATAGAGTTTGATATTTAACAAATTAAACGAACAGAACCGCCCAGCGTAAACTCGGAAGAAATAAATCATGTGAATGGCAGTGGAATCCGCGATCAGGAGGGAGTGGAGCTGAAATCCAGAGAGGAGGACGCTGCCTGAGATGCAGAGCATCACATCAGGGGCACTGACTCTCCCCTTCTCCACCACGGGCTTCCCAGCTAGAGGTGCACCTACAGCAGTAGACTGATGGGACATTTTTATCTTCTTCCTCTGATAAAAAAAAACTGTTTTGGAGCTGGCACAGTCAAATTGTACGTATTCTACATTCACATCATTTTAAATCAGGGACTTCAATATTCTATTTACTCTCTTACTACCTCTACTTCCTAGACAACTGGAATGTGTGAAAATAAACGCTGTTGTTGCTGTTCGATTACTAAAACAAAGAAAGAATAAGTACATTGAAGCTCTATTGCTGCTCAGTGCTCCCTTTGTCGCTGGAGAACTGACAGAGCAGTCAGTCCTCCCATTGCACCTTTCAATTTCCCCACCCTGGTATTAAACAGACCCTGGAGCAGCATTGAAGCTTCCCCTTAAATTACAGCATGATTGATGCTCTGAGGTCAGGAGGCCACACTGAACACCCACCACGCTGCACCATGGAGCTAAAATCCAGGCCCTGAACATGAGCAGTATTAATTAACTCTTGCAGCTGATGAGCCTGATTGTTGTCATGAGTTTACCTGCTCTGACTAGAAGGAAAGATTTTCAGAGGGAAGTTATTCTGGAAATAGAAGAGAACTGCAACATGTTTGGGGCCATGGCGGTGCTGCCCAGGGTTGTGGCCCTTCTGTGGGGAGTTTGCTTTCTAAAAATGTCACGAGTTGTCACTGTGTCTATTTGGGTTCTCCCACAGTCTTTCGGTCAATTAGACGACTTATTGATTAAACCCTGGGATGGGCTCGCAACCTCTCGAGGATGATAATCTAATATATACATTTCATATAGTTACATCAAGTACAATATAATAATACTCAGTATAATATAGTAACATATATATATATATATATATACACATTTATATATCATATAGGCAGGTGCTTCATGTCCCTCACTCCTGTACCTGTCCCGGTTTTATAAAGGCAGCATGGAAAGCTAAATATGGCGTTAGCATAATAGAATAGTAATAGAATTCACTCGTCACAATGTACCGATAGAAATGGTACATTATAATACAAAACATTACATCTTAGTTTAAGAAAGGCTTAAGTTACGTGACGTTGGTAATGATGTTGTGTTATTATGTTTTACATTACATTACAGGTCATTTAGCTGACGCTTTTATCCAAAGCGACTTACATTACACACATAAGACGCTGGAATAAACTTATAACGTTAACTTTGTAATGCTAGCCCCCCTAGACTGTCCCTCACCTGAACCCCCCCCAGGGTCCTTTATTCCCTAACCCATAACACACATTTTTAACAAATACACAACGAGCAACCTCATGTTAACTGCAGCTCGTCTGTAGTTATTAGTGAACTGGCTTAGTGACATCCTACGGAGGCTGTGAGGATTTTATATACCAGCTTATACTTCATATATGACCATAAATTGATCAATGAGCTCAAGGATACACGTTATGAACCTGAAATATCACTTTGTATGTAACCTTAAGAATGAATACACTTCAATACACAAAGAAACTTGCTTTGCGGCTTTTGTTTCGTTGTGTGATTATAGACTAACTTAGGGAGCAGGAGAAAGCAGCATTGAGCTGAAGGAGAATGATGAGAGAGTGTGCGATAATGACATATCGCACACTCTCTTTATGTCTAACTATTCTGACAAATACTGTGTGTGGTAACATTCAGCTACTGTAGCTTGGACAATTCTATAATATCTTATGGTTACAGTTATAACAGCTTGTATCCTATGCAAGAAAAGAATAAGGAATCTGTGCATACAAGTTAATAAATGTGTTTGCTGTTTTGTTTTCTATAATCTCCTCTGTCTTGAGATTGTAATATTACTTTTAGCTGAAAGTACAACGCTTAACTGAAAATTTAATTTCGACCGTGGCGCATGGAGTAGAGAGGGTGCGCTGGGAATTACAAGGTTGGTGGTTCGAACCCTGGCTGCTCCATGTCCCATGTCGAAGTGTAAGATTGTACATGTACTTTATAAGTGTTTTAAGGCTTTCACTGTCAATCGCAGCAGTTTGCAAAGCAACGGGAGCAGTGGAGGTAAAGTTGATGACACAGGCAGGAGGTCCCCCCGTAGGCCAGACCGTCCCCTTTCAGAGACCGCTCCGTTTAGCCTATGCGGTTGTTGGAGGACCAGCCCAGGTCTACCACAAAGGCGGCTGAAGCCTGGAGGCCGTAAGGATGCAGCCTAGGCAATTGAGACACAGCTTCTATCACCCCAGAGCTGCAGTGACATGCAGACATGCAGAGAGGAAGTGCAGGAAAAGCACATATTCTGCCAAGATATAATATTTGACCAATAATACTATATGAAAACACAAATTGACAATTTATTATAATTATTATTTATTTATTTTGTCGCTTAACAAAAGGGCGCTCATGGTTTGGGCCACCCTCTATCAGCCAGCCAGTTGATATGGGGCCTTCCTGCCAGGCTGTCCTGAGGTGTGCGTGTGTTTATTTCTGCTTCAGCTTTAAACAGCGGTTGAAGATGTGATAAGTTACAAAGTGATCAATAAATAGATGATGAAGCCAGGATCATGGATACGCCCCTCTGCATCAGTCTCACTCTCTGGGTTTCTCAACGCCACCAGAATCTTCATAGATCTCCATTGGACTCTCCATTCATTCTATCATACTTGACCCCATCAACCAATACCTCGACCCCCTTTCCTCGCACCAGGTGATACTCATTCATCCCTACAGCCACTCCTCAGTCCACAAGCGGGAATAGAGATAATGACAACATTTCCATGACTCGGAGGTCTGTTGAATTGTATTCCGGTGGAGTTAAAGTGTCATAACTATGCTTGAAAGATTTTTTAGGTGGGCTTTGTATGAATTACATGTATGAGATTCAACATATAAACGATATAACCAGTCGAAAACAAAATGAGAAACATTGATCTTACCTTCAGCTGTGGGTGCAGCTCCACTTTGAGATTCAGCCACACCATCTGCATCCAATGACAGACCCTGATTTGCTGCAAAAAAATAGCCATAGAGAGGATACAAAAGTTAAAACTAAAGCCAAACTTAAACATCTCTACCGAGTTGTTGGTCCCCGAGAGGCTGCAAAGTCTATTCAAAAATGACATTACATTACATGTCATTTAGCTGACGCTTTTGTCCAAAGCGACTTACAATAAGTGCATTCAACCATAGGGTACAAACTCAGAAGACCAAGAAACAAGAAAGTGCATTTTCCTCAAATAAACCAATTTACAATTGGCTATAGACGAGTGGCGCTATAAGTACAATTTAAGTGCTACAATTTGTTAGTCTTTTAGTTGGGTGTCATCGGCATAGCTGTGGTAAGCCATGCGAGCGAATGACAGCTCCGAGAGAGTTGGTGTAGAGCGAGAAGAGAAGGGGAGCCAGGACGGAACCCTGAGGAACTCCAGTAGTAAAAGGTTCCGACACAGATCCCCGCCCGGTTACCCGGTAGGTGCGGCCGTCGAGGTAGGACGAGAGAAGGGAGAGAGCAGAGCCTGAGACACCAAGTTCCTGAAGGGAGGAAATAAGGATCTGGTGGTTGACTGTGTCAAATGCAGCAGAGGGGTCCAGAAGGATGAGGACAGAGGAGAGAGAGGCGGCTCTAGCAGTGTGGAGTTGCTCTGAGACAGCAAGGAGAGCAGTCTCTGTGGAATGGCCTTGAAGCCTGACTGGTGGGTGCAATAATTTTTGGTGCTGCGATATTCATTTTACATATAAATGAACATCACCAACATTTAAGTTGATCGCGCTGCCTCCGTCCTTTTTCCTTGTGGAAAACGGGGGCGGGGCTTAGGCATTGTGCACACAGGCACAGAGCGACACAGACAGGTGAAGAGAAGCAGTGAACCCAACTAAGCTAACTAAGCTAAAATCTCACCCAAAACAACAACCATCCGCTCAGTCTTTAACCTGAACTACTGTTGGTTCCTCCGGACTGCTCGTTCGCCTCTTTGTGCGGGAGGAACGCCGTCCTGAGTTCCTCCCGGGCCGGCACATTGTTAGCGGAGCGCCTCGCCCTGCCGGCGGTCGGGGCCCCACGTTAAACCTCCCCGGCTGCCGCGGCGCACCTTTCCGCTGGACACAATTTCTCGAACCCGACTGAATCGCACCAAGCCCGAGGCTTCGCCCGCTCCGTGTGCCTTGCACTTATTATTGTTTTTGTTTTATTTATGTAGGATATTCTGACAAATAAAACGTTCTTTGTTCTTTGAAATAGCGTTTTAGCTTTTATTACTATGGTATTATATTGTCATTATGACAGTCAGTGGCATAAAATGGTCTGAAAATTGCAATAATATTGCAACAAATGTTGCGTGGTGGAATAGTCGCACAACAGAAATTTGATATCATGACAGCCCTGGTCACGGCCAATTACTATAAGTAATGTAAAACATGTGATCAGTAACATTCAACCAATCTGTTGCGAGAGGTTACACAGTCAATCAAACAAAAATTCTACTCAGGATTGCAGAGCGTCCAGGAGAATGTCAGTGGCTGACATGAACACGCTGATGGCCTATCGAGACCCAGTGGTTTGTTTGTCCCTCCTGGGCTACTATAGGAACACGGCGGTGCAATATAACTCCGGGCAGGACCCGCTTTCTATGAACATATGAACGGATCATTTAAACAAAAGGTTTCAGGTGAGTATACGTTGAAGAAAACATACTGGAAGTAAAGACTAATAAATTGAATCTCCACAAAAAGATGCTCAGCATTCTTGATGATCTTTTGTCGACTAACAGAGCGCCGTCCAATGGTTCGGTTGATCACTAGGTGGGATACACAAATTGTCCATTTCTTCAAAAATCGAGAAATAGGGCATTTGGCCGTAGTGACCGTTTAGGTCTGCAATATTTATAGTAGTTACATTGCTCATGGAATAATAATATACTGAAAATAAGGCAATATTAAGGCAACTTTAGGAGAAAAATTAATCCCATTCCATTGTATTACAAGTCAACATATTTGTGGAGATTATTACCTTTAGGAAGTTGCATTCTGTTTTGAGATTTCAAGGTGATCCATGAAGAACTTTCCTTCTCCTAAAATTTTTTTTTCTTAAAGTTAAATTAACTTGAATTTGAGAGATCTTTAGGCCTGCATACTAGGAAATAGGAAAACTGGCCTTCTCCTCTGATAAAACACAGCACATACATATTATTTTTTATGAGCAATACTTGTAATGGATACTCCGGCTGCTCCGTTTGAATCTCCCTGGGAGGTAATCAAGATCAGGCCCACGTGAGAAGACACAACGTATCACTCGGTTTTTGGCTCAACTCCACATTGGCCTATGACTTCCCTGGGATACAGAGCATGTGCTTGACAGATGTGGCCAGTCGGAAGGAAATTGGTGGTGCTGAGGTTTTGCAGTGAACAAAACCATACAGCATTCCTTTCAAGAGTCACCATTACCAACGATTGGAACCGCCTTCATTATGAGAAGGACAGACTGTTTTGCTTAATATCTCTGCATGGAAATGCTGGATTTTTATTCACCCAAAATGTGTCAAGAGCTATTAAATGTCTTTCAAACATCACACCAGTTGTGATGCACTGCAAGGATGAAGTATGCAAGCATCAAAACACACACTTGTGTGTTTCGATCTTTTCTCACTGTTCACATCTGTTCAGGATCTAAAAACGTAATGGAAACAACAAAGAGGTTTTTTGTTGTTGAAAGAACACATGAGAACAGCTTAGTGTTCTCGATAAACTGGTTCTTTGACTGACTAGATGATTTAATGTAATTTCCATAAAGTTAAGGGAACAACAGACACAGGCTTAAACCCTGTTTCTGTTTTTGATTCGGTTGCAGGTCCATTAAATACTCTACGAAGCTCTTAAGGCTAAAGAGCCTCTCCCTAGATCTAAAGTTTATCCATAGAATTCTTTCAGCAATACCGAAAGAAACATTCTGGTGATCAGGCGTCTCATTTGTAGTCACCTTTGTTACTTTTCACAAGGTGTGAACTATACTGAAATATTTGCGAAAAATTATGAGAAGTAAATCCAAAGAGAATTAAATAGAGTGGGTTTGAAGCTAGATTTAGGTTGAATGAGATGGTGTAATACACCAACTCTGCTGATCGCACACTTCTCCATTCGTCAAGACCAGACGGCAATCGGATGTGTGAGGTTGAGGATGAGTCAAAGCTGCATTCTCTCTAGTGATCACCAGGGGGCAACTCATCTGGTCCCATAGAAGTCTATTAGAAAATGGCTACTTCTCTCTTGAATTATTCCCTCAGTAAACATTGTGAACATGAGTGTATGGTCTCAAGCTCTAGCTTCAAGTCTTCTTCAATACAGAATAATGTTGATTTAGTAAATTAGTCAAATAGACCATGAAGCAGGGTAGGGCGGGGCACACTGATTGATAGGGATGATTATTGATAGGTACTACTAAAGGCTGGCGTCTTTACGCACAGTTGTTTCGACGCACTCATTTCAATTCATGGTTCTAAAAGTCTTGCGTGTGTTGCAGAGCAATTCACCGCCAGAACAACAGGTGGAGTAACGTGTTTTGTTGAAGACGACCTAGAGAGTCACGTCTTTGTGTGAAGTCGTTGGTTGGTTTATTTATTTATCATAGACTTTATTGCCCCGTGCATCGCCACTGCTGCTTTTCATCACGTACACATTTGTCCGTATTTTCCTCCACAACTTTGTTCCCCTCGTCTGTGGAGATCTCCCTCCGTGAATCAGAGGCCATCCGCGGGAGGCTTGTGTCGCTTTCGACGCAAGCCTAGAAAAATGGGTCAACGCACACAAGCACACAAGGAGGTGTGAAAAGACACGCAAGGGGAATAAACTAGGATTTAAAATCAAACATGTTGGACAAAATCTTTTTCTAACATTAGAAAGCACACTTACAATTACATTTTTTTTTTCTCGATCAACATCCTGTTTTATGTCGTTTCTGCAGTATCATCTCAGGAGGTAGGCCTCTGTAGCTTCAAACTAACCCTTAAAAACACACATTAGTCAACACAGTATTCACTAGGTCCACTAACTTATACAGTCATGGATGAGCTGATTAGTCGACAAAATCTACTACATGCACCAAGGAATAGAAGAAGTTTCTAAAGTTGAACAGAATGTGGGAGAGCCAAAAAGAGTGAGACCAAGACTTTCAAAAGTCTGGGAGTTTTTCATTAGCAAACCAAACCGTACAATGCAGCATCTGCAAAACAGAATTGGCGTTTCACAGCAGCACTACGGCAATGCACAAACATTCAAAACGCGAATGTCCTGGAGCCACCACTTCTCCTGGGTAAGTTTTAGTTAACAGCCTAAGTAACATTAGCCTGATTAACTAATCATAAGATTAGATGTTGGAAGACACGTCTGGAGGATGCTTGCCAACGCTCTTTCAGCTATGTTAAGTGCAATGCAGAAATTAGTGAATTTTCAGAGTGGCCTGTCTTTTCGTTCGTTCTGGCAACAGATTGTGGAAAAAATAATTTACACACAATTACGAGAGAATACTACTAAAAAAAAGAATCGTTAGTTGCAGCCTTAGACCTTCTCGCCATGATTCTGGGCACAAAGCTCTTGCATTTATCAGCCTTTGGACTTTCTCTTTCCTCCTGCCAGGGCCACGGCCGGGGGCCAAGGTTTTCCATGGAAGTCGGCTTGTGGGCTCTTCTGGCTTCCCGTGTCAAAACTTTGGCATGGAAAACTACGTTCACAGCGGCGATGTTCAGGCATTTCACCTAATTATGTACGGTTCCTCCCATCAGACCTAACTTCTTCTGGGAAAGTACGTTGTCCCATTTCAAACCGATGGTCCTTTAAGCTATTCTGTTCTGGTTTAAAATGATGCGATTCATGAATGGGACAAAAAGTAATTCCTCAAACACTTTATCTCTGGGTTGTATGAACACAAACTGAAAACAAAACTTCTAGGAGCCACTAGCCTCCAGGCACGTACGTCTCTGCTACAATACCAATGAGCCCACCTATTTATGGTTTACGTACA